AACAAATAATTTATTTATAAATCCATCTTAAACTCACTATATTCTCTTCCAGACAAAACAATGCAGGCAGGAAAGTAATCTAAAAATCCTAATAAAGAACAGGGAAATATCAAATGTAAAAAGCACAAATTTCCTTGGGGTACTAATAGATAGTACCTTGAGCTGGGAATTACATATTGAAAAAAACTGCAGTAGGATTAGCTGTAACCTGTTCATAATTAACAGGCTATATAAAATACTCGATTCAAATGAAAGAAAAATGTTGTATTACGGATTGATCTACTCTCATCTATCTTATGGAATAACAGTATGGGGACATAGTGCTAAGACCCTCACTAGAAAAATTTTTGTACTCCAAAAAAAAAAGGGCAGTAAGATACACTGCAGGGCTAAAACATCTGGAATCGTGCAGGGATAACTTTAGAAATCTAAAGATACTAACAGTATACTCGCTATATATACAAGAAACAATCCTATATGTAAAAAAAAAAAAAGTAACTGCACAGTGAGTGAACAAATACATACATATAACACAAGAAATAATAAAGACTATCATATATATGGGCACAACTTAGAACTTTATAATAGTAATCCCTCAGTAGCCGGCTGTATCTTTTACAACAAATTGCCTAACAACGTAAAATAAATAGAAAACAAAAATCAGTTCACAAGGGAATTGAAGTTACTTATTCAGAGGTGCTATTACTCAACGGAGGACTATTTGAACGATGAATTCTCGAATATTGGCTACTGATATAAGCAGAAGTATATAGTATATAATGTATAAAATGTTGTATATCTTATATAATTTTTTAGTATTAAGATTGTTGTAATTTAATAATGCATATTAGCTGAAAGACTTGTCCTATGTCATTGTATCAGGATCTAGAGGAGTAATAAAAGAATGAATGAACGAATGAATCATTAAGAGCAATATAATCTTCACACTAGTAGAACAGAATGGAAATACTAGGCAATGTTATGAGTGCATTTCCAGTAATATCAAGGGACAATATTAATATCCGATGTCTAAATTCATTCCATTAAACTATATTTCATCATTATTTCTGCAAAGTTCTGGGATGATAAGATGCTTAATGACTTGTTTCATAAACATTAAACAAGATGAGGGTAATCTGTCCAACATACTCCAGTTAACCTCACATCTCAACCTGACACTGAATACTTACTTTGTTTGTCTCACTGGAATAATCTACATCACCAGCATCAAACTCAATCAAGTCTAAAGAAATCCAGTCAAATTCTACACACTACTTGGTAACTGTCATCACCCTCCAAAATGTGTGATAACACAAGAAACACAACTGTACAACCTACATGTTTCACTAACAGGGCATAAATAATACTACTAATTGTACAATTAGTACCAGTGGATTCAAGGGAAATTTGTTTACATGGTATGAATACTATTCCACAGAAGCCCACACCAACCCAACTTTTATTTTCCTACAATAACATAATACTGCATGATGGAGACAAAACCTGTCACACTGTGTTCATGATTCAGGTCACTGTGCATTTGGGCAAGGAAGGCCCTGGTTCAGTTACCTGAGGTTATAACAACTGGGGCATAATATCAATGACCAAGACACTGCAGGCTCATGCTGACAAACATTTTGTACACATCCAACTCTTCAAAATTCCCCAAGGACCTAAATCTTACAAAACTCTATACTTCACAGTGCTTACTATTCCTGAAGACTGGCCTGGTTTACATCTGGTAAGTAACACTGGAGGTGCAGGGAACTGCACATAATCTTCGAGTTCAGTTACCACTCTTCCACACACTGCCCTGATTTCCTGAGATGAACACATGGTTTTGACCATACTTTCTCTTTGTCTTTCTAAACAGTACA